GTTGACCTCTTATGCTCTGGTTTTTAATTTCAGGGAGCTGTATCCCCTAGTACAGTGGTCGGCAAACTGCGGCCCCTTGAGTGTGGCTCTTCCACAAAATATCACATGCGGGCGTGCACGTACAGTTTGATTGAAACTTCGTGGCCCATGTGCAGAAGTCGGTTTTTGGCCTGGACGAGTCTATTTTGAAGAAGTGGCGTTAGAAGAAGTGGGGAGGTGGTGTCAGTCGGTGGGGCAACATGGCGCAGGTGGGCCGCGGGATACACAGCACAGGGGAGGTACATTGTTTTGAGGTACTTTCACTGAGGTCGACCCCTTCCAACTCTCCCATCCACACTCGTCTATCTGAAACAAGTATACAAGACGAGTGTGGATGGAAGAGTTGGAAGGGGTCAACCTCAGCGAACATACCTCAATCAGATTGAGGACGTTTTTAGCAAAGGCCAGCTTAGGAGTATCCTAATTAAGTTAATAACCTCTCCAAAGAAATTTCAATCGTTGTACTGTTGATATTTGGCTCTGTTGACTAATGAGTTTGCCAACCACTGGTGTAAGATCAGAAGGTAATACCACATCCCAACACTGTGGAAAAGACTGAGTTGTGAATACATTAAAGGCAGGAACTATCTTCTACTTTTTTATTACCTGTTATCTACCACAGGGTCATCATTTTTTATTATCAATTTTTTTCTTATTCCTTCCCTCTGGTTCATTAGTAAAATAAGTTGCATATAAAAGTCAACTCCCTTGCCTTTCTTTTCTTCTCTTCCACTCACCTGACCAAAACCCAGCCCTGGGTGAACCCCAAATATGCCTTATCCTTGTCTGTACCACTATAGCTCTGCAGAAGAAACATCATTAGTTCCATGTCTCTAAAATCATGGTCATCAACTTCAGACAGAATCTAATCGCTGCCTAACAATCCTCCAATGTTTCTTCAGCATGCTTTCTCTTCCATGCTCTCAAAAGCCATTCCACACTTCTCCTTGCACCTCAGATGCCCTGTTTCTCTTCCCACTCATTAGCAGCTGACCCTAGTCAGCTTTGTTGAAAACCTCCTTGTTGAGAACCTCCTTGTACAAGTTAAATAACTCTCTCTTTTAAAGCAGGGTTCCTTGACAGCAACACTATTGACACTTTGGGCCAAAGTTTTGTTGTGGGGAATTTATTTTTGGTTTTGGGGTTTTTTAAAATATATTTTTATTGATTTCAGAGAGGAAGTGAGAGGGAGAGAGATAGAAACATCAATGATGAGAGAGAATCATTGATCGACTACCTCCTGCACACTCCCTATTGGGGATCGAGCCTGCAACCCAGACATGTGCCTGACCTGGAATTGAACCTGTGACCTCCTGGTTCATAGGTCAATGCTCAACCACTGAGCTACACAGCCAGGCTGTTGTGGGGAATTGTTTTGAGCATTATAGAATGTTAGCAGCATCCCTGGTATCTATACTCTAGAATCTAGGTGCCAATAACACCAACTCCAGACTGTGTCAACCAAAAATATCTCTGGACATTGCCAGATATCCATTGAAGAGTAAAACCTCCCCTAGTTGAGAACCATTGATTTAAAACAGCAGAAATCAATTCCAGCTAACATAATGAAAAGGGGGATTTATTGAGAGGATAAAGGAGTAACTCATAGACTGATTGGAGAAAGAATCCCAGAGTCAGGAGATCTTGAGCCTCTTTTCTCGAAGTGATAATTAGGCTATCTCCCTCTGTCTTTGGGTATTCCTTTTAAGTTTCAATTTCTCAGTAGGAAGAATCTAAGTCCTGTTTAGGTGAGGCATTCACTCCTGTTGCCTGGGAAACAGAGTCTATAACTAGAATCAAGCTGGGAAGAAATGTTCAACAGAAAGCAAGATGAAACAACAACAACCAAAGGAATAGCCACCATACTTTCCCCATATTCTGTACCTGTATAAGCTAAAGTGACATGAAACCTAACTACAGAGGCTTCAATGAACTGGAATTTATTTTTCTATGTCTGGAGCTAGGTAGTTGTTGACATTAATTCAGCTGCTAAGCAATATCATCACCACCTCTTTCCTTTCCTCAGCTCTGGCTTTTTATGTTCAAGCTTATCGAAAGTTGAAAGATGGCTGTCATAACTCCTGACATCATGAATCAGTCACATTCAAAAGTAGAAAAACAGGGAGGAGGAAAGCAGCAAAGGGACCTTTTATGTGAAAAGTTCCTTCTCCTTTAATCAGCAAAGGAAAAGCTTTCACTCAATAACCTTTAAGTTCCATTGACCAGAAATAGGTTAAATGGCCATTCTCTTAGCTGCAAGATAATGTGCTGCTCACATCCTCCTTCAGGAAGGAACTGGCTGCCCAGCTGTGAGGAATGTGGTTAACCGACAGCATGCTCCTGTTACCTGCTTCAGGGTCCACTCAGCTCTAGAGCCCAAGTTACACTCTTCTTGGGGAGAGTCCCAGCCAGTGAATTAGTAATCAAGGGCCTTTTCTAACCCAGAACTCCAGTAACGGTCAGTCTTTGCTCTGGAGCTCCCCATTGGGCTGGCAAAGACTTTGTCAGGTTTGTATCACTGTCTGCAACCTCCCTTTACACAATTCAGCTTATACCTCTTTTCCTTTTATAAGCACTACTAGAGGCCCGATGCACGAAATTCATGCAAGGGGCTCGGCCCTCACAGCCCGGATGCTTTGTGGCCAAGCTGCCACATGGCCCCACGGCCCTGCCCACTGGTCATTCTGGAAGGTCATTCTTGGTTTATTTGATTGATTTTAGAGAGAGAGTGTTTATGCTTATTAGACATCCGGTCTAATTAGCATATTAGCTCTTTATTATATAGGACTAGAGGCCCAGTGCATGAAATTCGTGCAGAGAAGGGGGGTCCCTCAGTCCAGCCTGCGCCCTCTCTTTTTTTATATATTTTTTATTGATTTTTTACAGAGAGGAAGGGAGAGAGAGATAGAGAGTTAGAAACATCGATGAGAGAGAAACATCGATCAGCTACCTCCTGCACATCTCCCACTGGGGATGTGTCCGCAACCCGGGTACATGCCCTTGACTGGAATCGAACCTGGGACCTTTAAGTCCGCAGGCCAAAGCCTGCGCCCTCTCTTAATCTGGGACCCCTAGGGGGACGTCCAGCTGCTGGTTTATGCCCAATCCCTGCAGTCAGACATCTGGCAGTTGAACATCTCTCTCACAATCCAGGACCGCTCACTCCTAACTGCTCGCCTGCCTTCTCGTCCCTAACTGCTTGCCTGCCTGCCTGCCTGCTCGCTCCTTACCACTCAGCTCACTGCTCCTTTGCGCTGCCATGGAGGCAGGAGAGGCTCCCACCACCACTGCTGTGTTCACTAGCTGTGAGCCCAGCTTCTGACTGAGCAGTGTTCCCGCTGTTGGAGCACACTGACAACCCTGGTGGTCAGTGCACATCATAGCGACTGGTCATTCCATCATAATGGTCGTTTAGGCTTTTATATATATAGATTCCCTGATAAACATATACACCCAACTCTGTCTTAGCATCTTCTTTCTAGAGAACCTACTCAGTATTCTATCTTTCTAATTTCAGTAAATGGTATGCACACAGCTGCTCAAGCCAAAACCCTGTGAATCATCCCTCATTCTTAGTTTTTCTTCATATATACATCCCTGATTCTTAGTTTTCCTTCATACATACATCCATGATTCTTAGTTTTCCTTCATCTAAACCAGTGTTTCTCAACCTTCTAG